GGGGCATCTGAAGGGCTTCTGGGGGGTTCTCCGTGCTTCCTCAATTGGCTGTTGGAGGCACCTCTTGGGTGCTTCTCGGGGGGGCATCTTAGGGCTTCTTGGGGTCGTTCTCCGGGCCCGGCTTGCGGCCACATTGGAGCAATCCGGAAGCCTCCCGGGGCCTCCTTGAAGCAATTTCGATGCATCGAGAGCACTGTTCGGCTACCTTGGGGTCCCGTGTACGTCTCCTGTGAGCCTTTAGGGGCCTGGTGGGGGGCTTTCAGGGGCCTCGTCGGACCACTTGGGGACTCTTGGGGCCTCCTGTGGGCCTCTTAGGGCAGAAAGCTCTGCTGTTGGGTTCGCGTTCCCCTTATTGGGGCTCTCTTGGGGCCCTCTTGGGGCCCTCTCGGGCCGTCTTGGGCGCCTCGGGCACCGTCTTCGGGCCCTCGTGGGCCGTCTTGGGGCCCTCTTGGAGGCCTCTTCGGCTATCTTGGAGCAGCCGTGGGGGCCACTTGGGCCGTCTTGGAGCGTCGGGATGCCAAAAGGCTGGGAACTCTAAAATCCATCAAAAGCCCATGGGTCTCCTGGGTGCCTTTCGAGGGCCTCCTGGGGCCTCTGGGGGGCTCCTTGGGGCCTCCTGGGGCACTCTTCAAGCGGGAGGGTCGAATTTTGGAGTCGTGGTCTCCCTCTTGGGCGCATCTTGGGGCCGTCTTGGGGCTCTCTGGGGTGCCTCTGGGGCCGTCTGGGGGCCCTCTTGGTCCGTCTTGGGGCGCTCTTGGGGGCCTGTGGAGCAGGCCTGGAACGTCGGACAGCCGAAAAGGCTGGAAGGCCAAAATCTCTCCAGCGCTCGGGAGAGGCGTCTTGAAGCGTCGTGAGTGCCTTGGGGGGTTTCTTGGGCCGTCTTGGGCATATCTTGGGCGTCCAGGAGCGGTCTTTCGGCGACTCGGGGCCCGCTGGGGCTGTCTGGGGAGCCTCTGGAGGCCCTCCTGGACTATTTTGGACCTCCCCGGCCGCCCCGCCCTCCCATGGGGGGTCGGGGCAGCTATTTGTGGGCCCTGGGCCTGCCCCCCAGGGATCTATATCTATATTTATACATATATATATACACACACACCGGAATTCCATCATGTTCATCAGCGCCTCAAACTAATTCGAACGCCCTTGCTCGCGTACTGGCGGTGGCAGAACCCGTGTCAAACGACATCACGTGGGCCACTCGCGCTAATCGGCCGCGCGCGCATGTCGAACTCCATCAAAACCTCCATCGACGACGCGGGGACATCGTCATTGTTATCGGCGGGCGTGATCAACATCGGCGCCGTCATTGGCATTGCCGTCGCCATCGCCACCATCGTCACCATCATCGCTACTCTCATAATCTTGTTCACCGTTGTCGGCATCGCCATGATATCGCGCCCGCCAAATCACCGACTCGCACTGAAGTGCCCGCTGGGGAGTGCCCAGCGGTCAATGCCACCGCGGCCGCGTCGGTCGCGCCAGAAACTAGCTGGCCGCTGTGCGCGCGAGCATGCGCGGGCTAGCGCGGCCGCAGAGATGCATCAGCCAACGTCAAGCAGTCATCGCATTCGCCGACGCATGGGTGGGTGGATGGGAGGATTGCGCGAGCAGTGGAGTTGACAACTCACTGCGAGCATTGGATTGCACCACACAGAGTGCACCACATAGACTGCACCACTGCTAGACACACACTGTTTTGGGTCCATGCTGGCTAACATTGCTTACCACTGAATACACCGACGTTCTGAAACACCTGCCCGGCCGATGGCCCCCCCTCTGGCCGGTTCCATGCATATCCACCCATGGGAACCGTATGGATTACAGAGCTTGTGTGCAATGCGACCGCCTTGTTGAGCTTCAAGGAGGGCAATCGAATCCTACGAAAACCTATGGAGCCCAGCTGATGCCAATGGAGCCCAACAGGATCGCATGGAGTCGAAAGACGAGGAATGGAGCCTACTTGAGCGGCGCCCTCCGGGTATTCCAACGGAGTCCTAAGATCCGATTCACTATTCTAATGTCAAGTCGGGCACGTCTCCTCCTACAGGCAGACTATCGACGAGAAATCAAACATGCTCAAAAAAACAAGAATGATCGAGAAGTATTCAAAACATCGTCCCATGTCTTGACTATTTTGAACATTCCCCCTGTAGAGGGAGCGGCCTGGCTTAATTCTCATGGAGTCAAAACCGCAAGCGGGCGCCATGTTGTTCTCGCCGAAGCACCGTGCAAATTTCGCGACATGGGGGTGGTGTTCCCGCTGGGGCGCGGCGCCCAACTGTTCCCCTGCGCCGAGCCGTCGGAAGCGAGAGGGCGCCGCTTGCCCGCGGGCGAAATCTCGTCGCCATCGGTCTCGCCCAAGCGCCGCGCAGAGTTCGCCTGAAAGTGGCGCTCCCGCCACAGCGCGGAGCATGCGATGCCTTCGCCACTCTTATTGGAAATGTTGCCGCGCGCAGCAGGGACGAATGGCGCCGAAGCGCCGCGCAGAGGACTTCTGAGAGTTGTGTTTTCGCCTGCCCTGTGTTCCTTTGACAAGTCGTCGGGAGCGGAGCAGCGCGCGAGCGCTTTGCTTTCTCCTTACGAAAAAGGAAACGCTCGCCCGTCTCAATCTACAGTCGTGCCAACATGGCTTACCGCGGTACGACGAGAAATGCGCGAGTGGGCGGAGGTCCGCTGACTCGTTGGAGCTGGCTTGCTTGGCAAAACTCCTGCTCCTGCTCCCGCTCCCCCTCCTTATCCTGATTATTCTCCTCCTCCTCTTCCTCCTCCTCCTCTTCTCCTGCTCCTCGTTCCCGCCTCCTCCAGCGTCTCGGTTCCTCCGTGTTCCGCCTCCTTCTCCTCCTCCTCCTCCTCCTCCTCCTCCTCCTCCTGCTCCTGCTCCTCCTCCTCCTCCTCCTCCTCCTCCTCCTCCTCCTGCCCCTCCTCCTCCTTTTCCTCCTGTTGTCGTTTTCCTCTTCCTTCTCGTCATCGTCCGCATCCTCCTCATCATCCCTACTCCGGCCGCGAACCCCCAGGATTTCGAAAATCAATCACAGAGAGCAACCAGGAAATATGTACATGTGTTATCCTCCTCCTGCTGCTCCTCGTCCTGCTCTTCCTCATGTTGTTCGTCCTGTCCCTCTTCCTCCTCCTCCTCCTCCTCCTCCTCCTCCTTCTCCTCCTTCTCATCATCATCATCAGCATCATCCTCATCATCATCATCATCATCATCGCATCATCATCAGCATCAGCATCAGCATCATCATCAGCATCATCATCATCGTCATCATAATCATCATCATCACCACCACCACCATCACCATCATCATCATCATCATCATCATCACCATCATCATCATCATCATCATCATCATCATCATCATCATCATCATCACCGTCACGTTCGTCATTATCATCACAATCATCATAAGCATCAGCATCAGCCTCAGCATCATCATCAGCAGCAGCAGCATCATCAGCCTCAGCATCATCATCAGCAGCACCATCCCCATCACCATCATCATCAGCATCATCACCATCACCACCACAATCATCATCAGCAGCAGCACCACCATCAACATCAACAGCATCATCATCAGCATCATCAGCATCATCCTCATCAGTATCAGCATCAGCGTCATCAGCATCAGCATCATCATAAGCATCATCATCAGCAACAGCAGCAGCATCAACATCAGCACGAGCATCATCAGCAGCATACTCAGCATAGTCATTGGCATCATCATCATCATCATCATCATCACCAGCTCCATCAGCAGCAGCAGCAGCATCACCAGCATCATCAGCATCATCATCGTCAGCATCGTCAGCATCATCAGCATCATCAGCATGAGCATCCTCATCATCCTCAGTATCAGATTCATCCTCATCATTATCAGCAGCATCATCATCGTCAGCATCATCATCATCATCATCATCAACATCATCAACATCAGCATCATCATCATCAGAATCATCATCATCAGAATCAGCATCATCAGAATCAGCATCATCAGCATCATCAGCATCATCACCACTGCTTACGCTGGAGACTTCCGCAAGCCTCAGGGAACCTCAAAAACTGTTCCGACAGCTTTGCACCCCCCCCGAATTCCTAAAATCACAGAAAAAACTGCGAAAACACATGAATGCCTCCTCCTCCTCCTCCTCCTCCTCCTACAACTCCTACTCCTACTCCTACTTCTACTCCTACTCCTACTCCTCCGCCTCCTCCTCATCCTCCTCCTCCTCCTTCTCCTCATCCGCCTCCTCCGCCTCTCCCTCCTCCTGATCATCATCCTCCTCCTCATCCTCCTCCTCCTTCTCCTCCTCCGCCTCCTCCGCCTCTTCCTCCTCTTCATCCTCCTCCTCCTCCGCCTCTTCCTCCTCCTCCTCCTCCTCCTCCTCCTCCTCCTCCTGCTCCTGTTTCTCTTCCTCCTCCTCCTCCTCCGAGGTCGAGCCCAAGCAGGTCGCCAAGGACCTCACAGGCGTGGACACCGTCCTCTGCAACGGCATGACGGCGGCGGAGCTCAAGGTTTCGCCCACGACGGTGGTTTTCGAATCCAGCCCAGCTGTTGCGCTGGCGGCGCACGTGGGCTTCAATGCAGAGGGCTACACCATCAAGGTAGCCAGCTCAGCCGCCGGCCTCGTCAGCGGCGAAGAGGAGGGTGGCCGCCAAGGCCTACAAGCGTGTGGAGAAGGCGGAGCGCAGGACCGACCGCATCGTCAGCACGATCCGCAAGCACGCCTCCCTCGCCAAGATCGCGACTGGCCTCTGGGCGACGGGCTCCAGGCCGCAGGGCAACCCCCGGTCACCAGATCATGGGCCTCGCCCCGAACACAGTCACCGATCAACGGTGACAAACTCTACAGGCGATAGGCGCCAAGGACCCTGGCATCGAGCTCCGCAAGCAGACCATCGAGGAGTGGCTCCAGCTCTGGTTCGCCAGCCCCACTTACCGCAGGCGCATCATCCCGGCGTGGAGGCTCGTCCACCAGAAGACCATCAGTTACGGCAACAAGAAGTGGCGCTAGGTGGTGGGGCCCATCTCCGCCGTGCAGGCCATCCTCGTCGCCGCAGGCTGGGACTGCCCGTCTCCCTTCGAGTGGTCCCGCCAACCTCGCGAAGGTGAGCCAGCCGAGCGGACGTCCCGTCGCAGTTCGTCCACGAATTCTGCCGGACCATCGAGAGGGGCCTCGAGGACGACGCTGCCAAGCACCTCCACGTTGACGGCCTACAGCGCGGCGGCCCCGACGTACGCATCATCGCGTACGAGATGCAGCGGTTCACCAACAAGGGCTAGTTCGACCGGTGGGCCCTCCACCTGTCCGCGGCTGCGGGAGCGCAGTGGCCGAGAGAGAGAGAGAGGCCCATCGGGGCAGGGTACCAGGCGGACGCCACCTGTCCCGGATGCGGAGCCGAAGCCGAGACGCTCATGCACAGGATCTGGCCGTGCCCCTGCAACCGCTAGGGGAACAAAAAGTGGCATGAACATAAAAACTCGGAGGTCCGCGCAGATTTCTCGGATCGGCGCTGGACCCCCCCCCCTGGCGCGCGGAGCGCGCCAGGGGCGGCGCCGGAGGCGCGGGCCCCAGCGCCGATCCGAGAAGTCTGCGCGGACCTCCGAGTTTTTATGTTCATGTCACTCTCTGTTCCCCTACACGAGGACCGCGTGCATAAAGGGGCCCTGGGACATACAAATAAATACACACAAATAAAAGGATTGCCCATATTTTCCTACATTTTCTGGGTTTTTGTCTTCCTCCCCACTTCCCATATTTTCCTATATTTTCCTCGGAATCGACGATGAATTGTGTCTGTGTGTTTTTGTCCCCTCCTGAGTGCAGCCCCGACGCCCTCCTCCCCCCTCCCCCCTGCCAGAGCGGCAGGCGTCTCGCCCGCCAGCCGGCTCCGCGGCGCCCCCCCAGCCCGTGCGGCCACGGGCTCCCGGGCCTGGCCCATCCCCGGGGGGGCGGGGGGGAGACGGTGGGCGGAGGTCGGGCGGGACTGGGAGGGGGAGGAGGAGCAGGAGGAGGAGGAGGAGGAGGAGGAGGAGGAGGAGGAGGAGGATGAGGGGGAGGAGTTTCTGAGGGGAGGGTGGGGTTCGCTTCGCTCGGTAGCTCCCGAGCGAAGCGAACCCCACCCTCCCCTCCTCAGAAGTCGTGGGGGGTAGGGGTAGGGCTCGCATGTGGCCCCCCATGGGAGGGGTGCGAAGACTCGGCGGGCCGCCTCACCCTGCACGTTGACGGCCCAGGAGGTCAGTATGGGCGCAGAGCCCCGCCGCCGCCCGCAGGGCAGGGGCTGTCGTGATCGCGACGAGGAGCCACGTCGGGGAGTGGGTCCCCTGGGGTGGCGTTACCCCGGGCCTGCAGGGCCCCTTTCAGACAGTACCGCGTGCGGAGCTGCCCGCGTTCGCCCCAGCGCTCGAGAATTCGTTAGGCAACCTTCGACGCGCGGCCGGACAACACGCCTCTGTTGGATGGGTGGAGGTCCAGCCGACACATGCGCCCAGAAGGCGCGAACAAGGACCTGCTGCTCGCACCCGCGGCCCTGGCTCTGCAGACGTGAAGTGGGTGGCCTCTCGCAGCGAGGACGCTGCTGGCCTCGCCTCGGACCCTGCCCGCGACGCGCACGCGCCAGGCAGTGCACGTGATGACGCGTGGGCAGGTGGTGCCGCCCGGCCCAGCGGTCGTGGGAGGCTGCGCCTGCAGGCCGAGCACCCCCCCACTGACCTTCACGACGCCCAGTGCGCGCTGATCCGTCGGCGAGCGCGCACTGGGCGCCACGCGCCAGCTGCTGACCCGCGGGTCGCCCAGCGCCCCTCCCGAGCGAAGGGCCCGCGCCTCGCCGAGCTGCAGCTGGCGATGCAGAGCCGCGCGCACGCGTTCGAGCGGCACGCGGGCAAGTACCGAGGCTCGCGCTACGGCCTCGCAGCTGACAAGCGAGCCGTCCGCCAGGACGGCCCGACGCCCTGCCAGGCCAGCCCGCCTCTGCCGCCTCCCAGCGCGCAGGTGGTCCGGATCCGGAGCACCGCCGCTGTGCGAGGACGCGCGCTGTACGCCACGCACAAGCTTCATCGCATGCAGACAGGATGCTTGTACTTCTGCCGCGAGTGCGGCAGGACTGCCACAACTGACCCACGCCACCTCGCGGCCCCGTGCACTGGGCTCTCCCGCAAGGGCAAGGAGAATCTTGCGAAGATTGACAAGGGCCTATTTACCCGCCCCCTATGCGGGCCGCGACGGCCAAACTCCATGTGCCAGAGCGGCTACCCACGGCATGTCCGTGGCTGAAGCTGTAGCCGCGGCAGCGCCAGTCTCTGCCGACTGCGCACCTTAGCCAGACTCGAACTCGCACCTTGGTGCGTAGTGCTGATACTCTTGATACTCCTTCTCGTCCTCGTCCTCCTCCTCCTCCTCCTCTTCCTCCTCCTCCTCCTTTTGCCCCAGGCCTGTATAAGCCGACCCGAGCATTTCGGTTTTTCATGGGACCTGTGGTCCCGAAGCAGTGATCCCGTGCAAAATGATATGGCGGGAAGTGGTTATGTTGACAGGTCGCGCTTCAAGCATGGACCGCAGACCTGCAATGAGACTGGATGGCCAGTTGCCGTGCTGGACGAGCAAGGTGAGTGATCAGCCCACCTCACTGGCCCGACAGGCGCCCTTTGGCCGTCAACGCCGCCTGCCGCCGAGCACGTAGCTATGGCGATCGGGCACTTGTGTCCCCTCCTTACTGTCCTCCACTCTGACTACCCCGGCGTCATTAAAAAGTATGGCCAGGCGGATCTCGACAGGACAAATTGCACGCTGGGCTGGAGCTGCTAGCTGAGAGTCAACGTAGTAAAGTAACCCTTTCCCAGGAGTTGCAAAGATAGAAGCTCATCAGCAAATAGGAGCCCAGGCAGAGGGCTCCAGGGAAAAGGCACCTGACCAAAGAAAACGACATCGCTGATGGATTACCCCAGATTTCGTAATAAAAGGGAGGGAGTCTGGACCCTCCAAGACAAGCCATTTCAGACCTCCCCCGTGGGAGAACTCTCCAAAACATCGTCCCCAGATCCCCCAGGCCCTCCAAGATAGCCTGGAAGAGACCCACCAAAGCTGCAGCTGTCGAAGCAGGCGGCCCCTCCGAAGCTGAGGTCCGGGTCCAATCTGCCGATCGTGGCTTCCTGGTTTTCGGTCTCCGCTCCCCGGCGCAGAGCCTCCGGGGTCTTGGCCCGCGGCCGCCCCGAGACCTGGAAGTGCAAGGCCTGCGCAGGACCCAGCGTCCGGCCTGAAGTTGACCCCCTGGTGGGCGCCGCTTTGATCGCTCCCCTCCCTGGCCATCGCTCGGACGTCGATTCCCTATGCTTTCTTCGGTTTCGTGCGTGGTTTTTTTTTTTCCGTCCAATGATCAAGGATGTTCCTCGATGGTCCTCGCGGAAGGAAAAATACACACGTCCAAGCGATGCCAAGCTCCTGCCTCTGCCTCCTGCCCCCCCCCCCCCCGCGGGCCCTGGGGCCGACTCTGGCGTCCCCTCGGCGGGCGACCAGAAGAAGTGCGGCGCCCACCAGGGGGTGGAGCTCGAGGGCTCGAGGGCCTCCGGTTGTGCGAGCCCTGCAGAGCCAGAGCCAGATCGCAGGCGGAGGCCACGAACGCTAGAAGAGACACCCTGTCCTGTCCAGGTGTTTGTGAGGCCCTCTCCAAAAAATCGCCGCTGGACAGGAAAGGTCACCATCTATGCATATACACATAAATATACATACCTATACGACCACACTTCGGGTGATAAGGAGGTTCGGGGGGGGGAGGAACCAACGTCTCACTCGATCGGTCTCACTATCGATCTTTCTATCGATCTCACTATCGGTCTCGCTCGATCGATCTCACTCGATCGATCTCACAATCGATGTCACTCGATCTATTTCATTCGATCGATCTCACAATCGATACGACTATCGATCTCACAATCGATCTCACTATCGATCCCACTATCGATCTCACAATCTATCTCACATTCGGTCTCACTATCGATATCCCTATCCATATCACAATCGATCTCACAATCAACATCATCATCATCCTCATCGACATCATCGTCATCAACATCATCAACATCATCATAATCATCATCATCGGGACACCATCATCATCATCATCATCATCATCATCATCATCACCACCACCACCACCATCATCATCATCATCATCATCATCATCATCATCATCATCATCATCATCGGGACACCATCATCGTCACCACCACCACCATCATCATCATCATCATCATCATAATCGGGACACTAGCATCATCATCGGAACACCACCATCATCATCATCACATCATCATCATCATGAACAACATCGTCAACATCATCATCAGCATCATCATCGTCATCGGGACACCATCATCATCGACATCATCATCATCATCATCATCATCATCATCATCATCATCATCATCATCATCATCATCATCATCATCATCGGGACACAATCATCGTTATCAGCATCATCACCCACATAATCATTTGGACACCATCATCATCAACATCAGCATTATCATCATCATCGTCGGGACACCATCATCAAATCATCATCACCTCATCATCATCCTCATCATCAACAACATCATCATCATCATCGAACACCATCATCGTCATCATCATCATCATCAACATCATCATCACCGTCGGAACACCATCATCCTCATCATCATCATCATCATCATCATCAACCGCATCATCATCAACATCATCAGCATCATCACCATCATCATCGGAACACCTTCATCATCATCATAACCTTCTTCATCATCAACATCTCATCATCTCCTCATCATCAAATGTCATCAGGATCATCACCATCATCATCAGCATCATCATCATCGATACAACATCATTATCATCATCAGCAACATCAGCATCATCAACATAATCATCGAGACACCATCATCATCACCACCATGGCCATCATCATCATCATCATCATCATCACCGGGACACCATCATCGGGACACCATCATCGTCACCATCAGCATCATCA